CGATTTAAACAACCTCCAAAGCAATTGAAATAAATAAATGCATATGCTATACAAGAACTAGAGACCAGCTACAGGGTATGAGAAAAATAGCTTAATCGTTAGATAAATTAAAAGCCCGGCCACTTAATAAACAATGTAAACGAGTTAACGAGGCAAAATGAAACAGAGCAAGGTTAACATTGACATTAATACCGCAAAGAACAAAAAATAAATAGAAATAGAAAAAAAAAAAAGAATCATATATAGAAAAAAAAGCCAAACAAACAAACAAATTGAAGCACATAGCTAGAATACGGCGGCAAATGGAAAAAACTATAAATAAGAAAAAAAAAAATAGAAAAAAAAACAAGCAAGCAACTGTAATTAGCAGCTGCACAAAACGTAGCACATGTTGTTGTTGCTGTTGTTGTTGCTGTTGTAATTGTTGTTACTGTTGTTGTCGAGCATGTGGTTTGCAATTTAAGACGCGCTTTGAGCTTGAAAGCTGTCGGCATCTAAGGCCTTAGATACTGGCAACAACTGCCAATCTGAGGCTGAATCTCAATTCTTTAAGCTGCAGTCTTCGTTGTCTCAGTGTCAAGTCGCCATCTGCAGCTTCGATCTATCAAAGCAATGGCATTTGGATGCTGTCGATAGCTCACACACACACACACACACACACATAGAGAGAGAAGCAGGTGTGTGTGTGTGTGCACATACGAGTATTTCAACTCGCATACGTTGCAATTTTGACCTTGAAAAGCTGCGGCGGCTGCGCAGCAAAACAGTTAAGACTTTGTGTAGGCTGTGCTGTTAAATAGCAGAGTAGGGGCGGTAGGGGCGGGGGGGCTGTAAGTTGTGGGGTGTGTATGTGTGTGTTGGGCTCGCTGCAAGGCTGCTGTGTCATTCAATTTGGAAATTACTGGGTTAATGTTAAGTTAAATGTTGTTTCAATTCTTTTTTATTTTTTTGTTGTTGTCTTCATAACTGAAAAACAAAAGACTTAGGCAACGAACTTGAAATATACAGTGTGCAATGTGCAGCAGGCTAAAGAGCACAGATAATGTACAGCTAAATGAATATGTTCATCAATAAATGTTGCTTGTTAACAGCTGCGTAACATAACATAGCATAACAGACTTAAAAGTTATGGCACGCTTGTAGTCAACAGCTGTTTATGCAAATGTTAAGTTACATAATTGATAACAGTATGTGACAGATTGCACTAACAGCTCTGTTAACATTATGTTAGGCAGTGTCATATAAAAGTTATCTAATTTGTAAATATATAAGGTTGGATTTAAGCATTAATTTTACTAGCATAAACATTTAACAGCATAAAGCTAACATTTGAGTTCGCTTTTAATAGAACTGTAAGGGTTCTTATTGATTTTTAAATGCAAAGTGTTAATAAAAGTCTTAGAAATATTTCAATGGACAGCTGTTAGCTTAACAGAATGCAAAACAGTTTCTGTTAAGGCGGTTTATGTGAAAGTTCTGTTAGTTGATTGGACAAAGCTACATAAAACAAACAAGAACTTAACATTGATTCATTCCATTAACAGCACTGTTAAAAATTAATAAAAATCTTGCCAGCAATTAATATGCGCAATTAACAGTGTTACATTAACAGGCGTTACCTTAAAAATAGGTGTTATTAATTACATAGTCCCAGCGAAATGCCTGCGAATCGCGTCCAAAATTGAGGCGGCAACATTTTAAGGTAACAAATTGCAACAAAATTATAAAGTTGCCAGAACAAGTAACGCGTCGGCATTTATAATGTATAATTTATAAAGCTGACCAACAAAAAATGAAAATGAAAAAAGTGAACAAGAAACCAAGAAACCAAGAAAGCGAAAGAAAAAAAAAAACAACAACAAGATTAAACTTGACTTTGCTGATTTGAGGGCATCGATAAACTTAATTGCATGGCACTTAATGCATTTTAAGGTTTGCGCCCGAAACCTGAGAACCACAACGCCAGGCCACATACAGATACAGATAAACATATATATATATAAATATATATATATATATATATATATATGTGTGTGTGTGTGTTGGCACTAATAAAGACCTTGTGCGGGCCCTTTGGCCCTTAGAAATCGAACTATCAACAGCTGCCCCGAAACTCGAGCCCCGCAACGAAGCCCAAGAAGAAGAAGCTGAAAAAAACGCAGCGTAAACTTTAAGCTGGGGCGTTAGAGACAAATTCATTTAAACGCAGATCGCTTAGGCAATAAATTTATAGACTGCCCGCCGGCAGTTAGAAACCGAAGACCGAGCGCTTGTGCTGGGGCAACAGGTAAAGCATATCCTGATATACCCCCGCTCTGGCCCCGCTCTGGCCCCTCTATGGCCCCGCTCTGGCCCCTGTGGCTCTGGCGCATTAGAATTGCAAAGCGTGCGACAGAGGGGCGCATTAGGTCATTTGGTCAGAAGGCAGAGGAAGACAAGCGAAAGGCAAAAAAAAAAAAAAAAGCACCTGTTAGACTCCTGGCCACTTCCTTTTTTACATTCAAACGGATGCATTCATCAATTTGGCGGCCAAAACAGGAAGCCACAGACGCGAACCGCCTGTTTTTTTTTTTTTTTTTTGGCAAATCATGCGCCCGGGCTTTGACAAGGGTCGAGAGCATCTGCTGCGGCTGGACAAAAGCTGCCTGGCACTCTTTGCCCTACTATTTTTTTTTTTTTTTTTTGATTATTTGAAAAAACGCACTTGTCATGCCGGAACGAGGGGGGGGGGGGGGGGGGCGCGCGTTGGCTATCAGAATGCCAAATTGATTAGCTGTCGACTAATCGCTGACACTAGCTGCCTCTCGCTCGCACAGTCGGCGAGCATTGCGCCCACTCGCTCGCACACTCAACGTTGCGTGCTTTTCATGCTCTATTAAATAACTGGACAAGTGGGTGGGCATACACACACACACGCACACACACACACACATGTGTGTATATGTACTTCGTTTTGGGCGCGCCTTATTGCCCCACAGCGCAGCCTCAAGACGGGGTCAGGGCCAAGTTGACATTGTTAATAGAGCGTTTATCGCTTGTGCAAGATGTGCAATTATTTCTTTAGCTGAACCGTCTAAAAGCTATCTTAGCCACATAACTGAGCCCAACTCGAAGAGCTTGAGCCAGAAACTCTTGCCTCAAATGTATTGCAACTGTCTGGCCTTTTGGGCAAAAGAATGCTGAAATCTTTAAATAATCAAAATGCAAGTTCTCTCTCTTCTATCAACTAATCAGCTCTTGACCTTATTCCCATTGTAATTCGGCAACTGCAAGAGTTTAAGCCATGGAATTTGGTATGTGCCCTGCCGCATGCTTTTCTATAACACATTTATTTCAACTTTGTGCATTTCGCTATTCAAGCTAACCTCACTTTTAAGGCATACAATTGTTAAACATATGGCAACGCTGTGTATATTAACCCTGCCCCCAACGATGCTTTTAACCCTTTTGGGTGACTCGATAAAGCGGCGACCCTTGAAGCTATGAATATGTATGTGTATATGTGTGTGTACGTGCGTGTGTGTGTATGTGTGTGTGCATAGTTAATATATGGGCAGAGCCGCTTGGCGACGTGTTTGGCATTTGCAATGCCACACAGAACAGCACACCAAAACAACAACAACAACAACTACAACAAGAAGAAGAAGAAGAAGAGCTGTGCGATGCTTGGGCTAGGCAGCGGTTGATAGATGGGACGCGTCGAGGAGTGTCGTCATCGTCGTGCATGCCGGGAATTTAACATGTGCTGTTAGCCAGAGAATGCGTTTGGAATTCGCCTCTACATAACAGCAACAACAGCAACAGCAACAGCAACAGCAACAACAACAACAGTAACAATAGCATCAACAAAATCTCATCTCATACACATACAAAACATTTCAATGTTGACTTTTTGTGCCGTTTTCCGTGGTCTAAAGAGCAACAGTTGAGGGGCAGTCGCGGGCTGTAGGCCAGCTGTTTGCGGTGGGCGTCGCGTAAATTACAAAAAAATAAAAATAAAGCGACAAAAAAACACACACACACACTGCACGACACCCGCATAGACATAGAATAGAAGAAACGCTTACAGATGCGTCGCCTAGTCGCACTTTGTATACCCTACACAAAATCTCAACTTTCATGTTAAAAGCCATGCTTATAACAGCTACTGTTAACTAGCTGCATTAACAGCAATAACAAACCAATAAGCTAAGCAGACTGTTACGTTAAGTGCGCTGCACTTAACAGCATAATTCCAATTGGAATGCTGTTTAGCTGTGTGTACAGGCATACTGTTAAGAGAAACACTCTCCAATCAGCACGTTTACAGAACTTCAAAATTGCAGCCTTAACATAGCCGCTGCAATTAGAATTTGATTTGCATAAATAGATAAATCTGTTGCCAACTCTGTTATTTTGGGTGTATAACACCGCCGCCCCGCAAAGAGTATGCAGAAAAGTAAAAAGTCAAAAATAAAATGGAAACAAAACAAAAGGCGCAAAAAGTATTACAAATTCTGGGCAACAACTACGACGCTTTGTTATGCACATTAACATACGCACACGCACACACGCACACGCACACGTCCGCTACTATTGCTGTATTTGCTTTGATTTTGCGCGTGCATGTGAATTTGTACGCACACATGTACATGCATATGCACGCATACACGCAAAGCTGTTTCGTTAAGACGCATTTTGCGCTAGACCAAAAGGGAAGAAATGGAAGGGCGCAACAAAATAGAAGCGATAACAAGAATATCTTAAAAGTTCAAGCACACGCAGCGAGCAAATACAACAATAAACAACAAAAAAGAAAAAAAGAAATAATAAATAAAATAATGTAAAAACAAATCGCATTGAAATCAATTAATAGAAAGGATAAAACGTGCATTGAACTTTCGCTCAACGAGAAAAACATAACACTGTTAACTGTTATAACTTAAAACTTAACTGTTAAAACTTACCGACACATGATAAAGTGTGTATGTATGCACATACGAACTTTCGTTAACTTTTTGTTCTGTTGCAGCAATGTTAAATTTGTTCTGTTGTTGTTGTTGTTGTTGTTGGCGAGGTCAATGTTTCTGTTATTGTTGTTGTCGTTAAATTGAACAAAAAAAAAAAACACAATTCGTTTCCTCATAGCAAACAAGCACAAACACTTTTTTTTCGCATTTCATTATGTGTAAAACGTATTTGTAATTATAAAGCATTTTTACAATTGCCTTGACCTTAACACAATAAAATTAATTACGGCAATTACAACAACTAAACTGAAAAACTGGAAAGGCATAGCCATTTTAACAGCTCGTTATGCAGTCGATCATGTTAAAGTTTCTGTGTGTGTGTGTGTGTGTGTCTGTGTGTATGTAGAACAGATTGCAGCTTGCGGCCATGTTAAGTTAACAGAACACCAATCAAGTTAACATACATGCATATATGTGTATGTGTGTATGTGTGTACATTTGTATTGACAAGTATGTGCATGCATTGCTTTCCTCTGCTAGTGGGCCGCTGGGCGTGGCATGTGCATTTTAATGGCGAACGTCTGCTATTAGCCCATTAATAAATAAATGGCAAAGCCAACATTTTACGCTCAATTTAAAATCAAATGATTGACGGGCCGCGGGGGACGGACCGAGGGCGTGACCAGCTGCAGTTGGCATACGAATTAAATGTTAAAACCAAAAATAATAGCATAATGTGCGTTTAAATGTGCCAAAGCAGCCGCATAAAATAATCAATTATGCCCGGCGAGCGGGCAGAGAAAAAGAAATAATACTAACGTCAAATGTTAAACGGCTGCGCGCACGTTCAAGGCTACAGCCGCTGTTAACTGTGCAGCGCTGTTAAGTGGCATGCGACAGTTAGAATTTAGGTAGCCCCCCCCCCCCCTCCTCCACCTCCTGACAATGACACGGCTTGCGACCCTGATCAAGAGGCAGAAAACAACAGTAGCAGATGCGCTGTCAGTTGCGCTTTTGGCTTGTTTAAAGTGGCGGGAATTCTAGCCTTTTTTTTAGCGTTATTTTTGGTTCTGTTGTAAAACTAGCTTCTTTTCTCTTGCCTTTTAGCACTGAGCAGCAGCTGTGTGCGTGTTGGGCATTGAACACACACACACACACACACACACACACACACACACACGCACACATAGCAGCCACTGTTACCATATGTAATTATTGGTACTGCGCGTTTTGCATGCAATTAAATGCGCATATGTCTGCGTGTGTGTGTGTGTGTAATTATGAAGGGCTAACAACAACAACGCCCACGCACACAAAACTTGTTCATTGACAAATGCCGCTGCATTGCATCAAACACACACACACACACACACACACACGCACATAGACAAAGCAATTGCAAAAAGCCTTGATCTTGATCGCATGAACGTAACAGGCACACACACACACACACACACACACACACACACTTGTTGAACGGCGGCCGCCAACAGCAAAGGCAGCGACGTCGACTCGACCAACTCAATGGGAATGGGGCTGTCTGTTGTTGTAGTTGTTGTAATTGTTGTTGCTATTATTTATTGCACTTGATTTGATTTGATTTGATTCGATTTACAGCCAAGACTAGTTTTTCTTTTTTGTATGTACATGTATGTATGTGTTTGCCAACCTTGTCTTTGCCCGTTTTTGACGACGCGTCGACGTCGAGGGCGACTGCGCCGGCGCCGGCGTCTCGCACTTGCACTTGCTCTTCACACTTGCGTTTAATTAATACAAAAACACTTCACAATATTTACACGTTGAACGCGTTGGCGTTCACTAAATGCATTTTATTGAATTGTAATTTGTTGAATTGTGTAAATACAAGAAATTTGATTATTTTTATGGGCGCACTGCAAAGCTGCGTATTTGCCTTTGCTTCTTACTTTTTCTAGAAGGCGAAGACGAAGAGAATAACACACACACACACGTATATGTATGTATACATATGTACGTCTGCAGGTGCGTGTGTGTGCGTGTGTAGGTGGCTTTACCACCAGGCAAATTTTTTCAACGCACTGGCAACTCTTTGCAATTACAGTTATGCGTTTGTTTTCTTATGAAATCCAAATGAAGCGAACAAAAATATAGAGCAGGCGCACACACACACACACACACACGCACAAAATTGTAGCGAACAGAAGTACAGTGGACCCTTCCGATTGGTGTCTTATTGCACAAATGTTCAATATTCAAAAATGGCATTTTGTTAGTGCAAAAATATAATTTTATAAGATGTAAAAAATATTAATTGTGTAATTAACCAAACGTTTTACAATACGCCAGCAATTGATAATAAACGAAAAGTGCCGCTGCCAATTCTTAAAGCTCACAGTTTCGAGCGTTCACTGTAATAGGATGATCTTGGCGACAGAATGGTTTTTTTTATTTTTTTTTTTGTGTTCGGTTTTCGTGCATTTCTTGTGCGCGAACATGTGAAGGAGAAAGAAGGAGATGCGCTTACAGTTAGCAAACGATCGTCGTGGCGATTGCACGGTTAATTCTTGTCGCTTGTCTTTCGATATTGATTTCGGTTTCGATTTCGTTGTTATTTAATTATTTAAGGCTCGTTTTCTTTTGCCCACCCCCCTACCCTATTCGCTCGGTTTCGGGCAACTGCCGTTGCACATTTATAACGTAACGAATGTAAAACTCATGATGCGCATGCAGCACTAACACATGCATACATGCATACATACATACATATATGCCTATAGATACATGCATACATACATATAATCATAGATTTCTTATGCGCATTTGACTAATTACGTTTCTTTTTTTTATATTTGTTTTTTTGCAGAAAATACCAGCTGTTTAACGCCAACAGAATTGTTGCAGCGTTTAAGCTCAACAGCAGAAACCTCCACCACCACCAAGAACATTAACAGAACACCAACACCCGCACCCACACCCCCCGCAACAGCTACAAAAGACTGCGACGAGAATTCGTTAACAGTAGAGGAAGAGGAGGCAGAAGCAACAACAACAACAACAACAGCAACAGCAACAACAACAATAAGAACAAGCAGCATACCAAAAGAAAACGAACACAGCCCAAAGCAGCAGCCACCGCCGTCGCCAGCGACTGCGCCGCACGCCAACAGCGACGCCGAAGAGGAAGCTGACGCTGACGCTGACGCCGACGTTGACGTTGACGTTGGCCTTGAGGCGCCAAAGCCGCGTTATTACGGCGCAGGCGTTGTTCTAACGCAGGCGCAGCGCAAGGAATATCCGCTCGAGCGCAACATCAAAGATAAGACGCAACACGTTAACATAGACGTAAGCGGCAGCAATAACGAGAGCAGCAGCTGCAGCAGCAGCGACGCTGACGCTGACGCTGACGCCGACTCCGACAACGACGACGACGACTCCGACGACGGCTGCAAATTGATTGTTGACGAAAAACCGTTGCTGCCCGTCGATCAGCCGCTGTCGCTGCGCATGCGCAGCACACCGCCCAGCGCCGAGCAGAGACCGAGTCCGCCGCCGCCGCGTGTACCCGCCGTACGCTGCAGCGTTATACAGCGCGCACCGCAGGCGCCCGCACAGGAGCAGCAGCGCGAGAGCAGCGAACTGTTATACCAGCAACAGCTGCAGCAGCAACAGCAGCAGCGCGAACGCCAACTGTTATACCAGCGCACACTCGACCTCGAACAGCTGGGACCCGAGCAACAGGAGCCGATCGATTATCACGTGCCGAAGCGACGCAGCGCCAGCTACGACAGCGACGAGGAGCTAAACGCACGACGCCTGCAGCGCGAGCGACGCGTGCGCGAGGCGCGTCGACGCAGCAGCTATTTGGCAGCGCGCGTGCTGCAGCTTAATCCGCGCCTGGTGCGCAGTCTGCCCGGCATATTGGCAGCGGCCGCTGGACACGGACGCAGCAGCAGCAGCAATTCCGGTCAAGGTTTTCAGACGGGCAACAGTTTCGGCAACGGCGGCAGCGGCAGCGGCAGCGGCGGCGGCAGCAATCAGAACGCCGGCAGCGCTGGTACACACGGCGGCAGCAGCGGCAGCGGCGGCAGCAGCAGCTTTGGCAGCGGCGCCGGCGGCGGTGGCATGGGCGGCGGCCGTGACGGACGCGGCAATTACGGACCAAATTCACCGCCCAGCGGCGCATTGCCGCCCTTCTACGAGAGCCTCAAGAGCGGCCAAACCGGTGATTCTCAAGCGACCACGCCCACAACGGGCGCACATCACGGCCAGCTGCTGCACAGCAATTCACAGTTTCTTATACAGAACGCGGCGGCAGCGGCATATCTAATGTCCGGACAGCAGTATAACTGTAATGGAGCAGCTGGCGTGGGAGCTGGTATTAACGGAGCAATAGGAGGAGTTGTAGCAGGAGGAGGTGTGGTAGGAGGAGGTGTGGGAGGAGGAGGAGGAGTTGGTGGTGGATCTGCTGTTGGCCTCGACGGTAATAACATATTGAACTTTGCCAATAATCTGGGTCACAGCAATTATAATGATATCAATTCCAATTCCAATTCCAATTCCAAATTCCATAATTTACATGCGAACGGAACAACTGTGGGTCATCCATTCTATGGCGGCAATCCCTCAGCCTATGGCATCATCTTGAAAGATGAGCCCGATATTGAGTATGATGAGGCCAAGATCGATATTGGCACATTTGCCCAGAATATTATTCAGGCAACGATGGGTCATGTTGGCGGCGGCGTTGGCAGCGCTGCTGCTGTTGCAGCTGCTGCTGCTGCTGCTGCTGGCGGCGGCGGCAGCGGCGGCGGCGGTGGCGGCGGCGGCGGCAACGGCAACGGCAGCACATTCTCTGCCAGCGCCTATGAGGACGCAATCATGTCCGATCTGGCTGCCAGCAGCGCAGCGCAGTGCACAAATGGCGGCGTTGATCCTCTGCAGTTTACGGCAACATTAATGCTCAGCTCGCAGACGGATCATCTGCTGGAACAGCTGTCGGACGCCGTGGATCTCAGTTCGTTTCTGCAGCGCAGCTGCGTCGATGTTGATGACGAGGACGAGCACTCGACCAACAATAACAGTCCGGCACATCAGCGACAGGACTTTGAGCTGGTGTCGACGCCATCGCTGACGCCGGACTCGGACGCGGTGTCGGTGACGCCGCATGCGGCAGCGCAGCTGGATGCGCTGCACGAGAATCTGTTGACGCAGCTGACCAACAATATGGCGCGCAGCAGCAGCAACAGCAGCAACAACAACAACAACAACAACAACATTGTTTATGGCGCAACGCCACAACATGTTGCTAATACACAGCAGCATCTGCAGCAACATGTTGTCAATGCGCAGCAGCAGCAGCAGCAACACTTGCAGCAGCCGCCGCCCTCGTATCAGCACGCCACGCGCAACTTGCTGCAAATGCAGCAGCAACACAACAGCAACAACAACAATAGCAACAACAGCTACCATCAGCAGCAGCTGGCACAGCAGCAACAGCAATTGCTGCAGCAGCAACATCACACGCATCATCAACAGCAACAACAACAACAGCAGCAGCAACAGCAACAGCAGCAGCAGCAGCAACAACAACATTTCCATCAGCAACATAATATCTATGCACAGCAGCAACATCATGCACAACAGCAACAACAGCAGCAACATCATTTCCATCAGCAACAGCAGCAACATCATGCGCATCACGCACAACAACATGCACATCAGCAACACCAGCAACATCAGCAGCAACACCAACAGCAGCAGCAGCAACACCAGCAGCATCAGCAGCAACATCATCATCACAACGACAACAGCAACTTGTCGCTGCCATCGCCAACAACAGCTGCTGCTGCCGCTGCCGCAGCGGCCGCCGCTGTCGCCGCATTGCGACCCATGAGCAGCAGCAGCAGCAGCAGCTCAAATCTGCTCGATGCGAACACGGCAGCGGCTGCTGCTGCCGCTCTGCTCGACACGAAGCCGCTGATACAAAGCGTAAGTGCACCAAATATACTAAAGCCCATCAAATGCAGCGGCGAGCCGCCAGCTGAGCTGGTGGACACAGCGCCGCTCACCTATCTGCTGCTCAACAGCAGCAACAGCAATTGCAACAGCAACAGCAACAGCAGCAATTGTAGTCACATTAACAGCAATAGCAAGCATAACATTAACAGCAGCTGTAAACATAACATTAACAGCAGCGACAGCAGCAACAACAACAAGAAAAACAGCAACAACAAGAACAGCAACAGCAACAGCAACAGCAACGGCACTAAGCTGGGCGGACGCGCCAAGGCCAAGGCCTATGGCTCCACTGTGGTCACATTTGTCTCGACGGTGAAGCCATCGCCGGAGGTGCCCGCCCAGCGACACGTACATCGCACCACGTTGCGCTCGCTGGCCTGTGCGGCGGCTGCGACGGCAGCGGGCCTGTTGCCGCCATCTCCGACCATTTCGGTGCTCAATGAGAGCAAAATGCTACAGCGGCGGGTAAGGGCCAGTGCCCTAAGTGTCTCTCTGTGTCTCTGTGTGTGTGTGTGTGTCCCCCTATTCCCGAACTTCTCTCCCACTCTCGCTCTTCCTCACTCTCTGTCTCAGTTTTTTTCTCTCTTACCACGCCCGCTCGCCTCTTGTATTGTCCTCTGCCCGTTTAGACTTTTGCATTTGACTATTCGCTACACTTTGTCACTTTCACAATTTTCGCAAAATCCACTTCAAATATTTCCCAAATTCCACCTCGGATACAAGAGGCAGCCGCTTGTCTCTGCAAAGTCTTAGCATCGAACTCATTTGCAATTATTTCTGGCAGAAAAAAAGTGAAGTTTTGGCCTTACAAATTCACTTGAGACATATTTTCACACTATTCGCACAATCCACGCCTTCTCGTGAAAAAGTTCGTATTAAAGTTGGAGTCTTCCGATTGATTATATGCATTCAAAGCTGTTCAGAAAAGCTCGCTGAAAAATGTGTTCAAGTGATTTGAGCAATTCCACTCGCAGCTGCGGAAAATGGTCGGAAATTCTAGTCTGAACGTTTTTTTTTATATGGATTTGTGACGTATTCTTCAAAGCTTATTTCGACATTTTACATAAAGTTCTCTTTGAAGATTTGTTTATAATATTGCAATAACTTTTCAGGCCCCTCCCCTTCCCTCCATTCCTCCCATTCTCTTCCAGTAACTCCCTCTTTAAGGCCCAACATGTTGTCAATTGTTATGTGTTCTGCTGTGTTGTTCCTTTTGCTCTGTTTTGTGCTGTCTTTTAGTTGTTACTTTTTTTTTTTTGTTGTGTTGTTGTTGTTGTTGTTGTCAACCTTTACTCAATTTGATCCCGACTTTTGACTTTCATCCCTTTAGCTGGGCCTGCCGCCGGACTTGCAGCTGGAGTTCGTGAACGGGGGGCATGGCATCAAGAATCCGTTGGCCGTGGAGAATACGCACGGAGGCCATCATCACCACCGCATACGCAACATGGATTGCATCGATGATCTCAAGCATGGCCATCCGTCACAGCAGCAGCAGCAGCAGCAACAGTTGCAACAGCAGCAGCAACAGTTGCAGCAGCACTCGCCGCAGCTGCAGCAGCAGCATTCACCGCAGCAACAGTCGCTGCAGCAGGCGCAACACTTGTCGCTCAGCCAACAGCACAACGGTGTCGGCGGCGGGGGCAGCAACAGCTTGGCCAGCATTGGCAACAATCGCAACAGCAGCAGCAGCGTCAGCAGCAACAGCAGCAATCAAGGCGATTCGCTGTGCCCCAGCAACAACAGCGGCGCGGAGGATGCCAACAACAAGTTCGTTTGCCGCGTCTGCATGAAGACGTTCTCGCTGCAGCGTCTGCTCAATCGGCACATGAAGTGCCATTCGGATATCAAGCGCTATTTGTGCACCTTCTGTGGCAAGGGCTTCAACGACACCTTCGATCTGAAGCGTCATACGCGCACCCACACGGGCGTTCGCCCCTACAAGTGCAACCTGTGCGAGAAGAGCTTCACGCAGCGCTGCTCGCTCGAATCGCATTGCCAGAAGGTGCACAGTGTCCAGCATCAGTATGCCTACAAGGAGCGACGCGCCAAGGTGAGTCACGAGCAATTCCACACAAACAAGTGAATCATCAGCGAAATTTCATGCGTATTGCCAGATGTCGATTGTAGATAAATTGATTTGAATATGAGCTAAAGTATATGCATTTTTAGAGGAACAGCGCTAGTTTGGAACCAGTTCCGGCATGGCTTGGAACTAGCTCAATGAAAATTCTCAATTATTTAGGTGTAGAGAACCAATAGAAAGTATGATGTTATGCCCAAGTATCTCAGTCAAAAAAAGCAAAAGCTCGGATTAGTTTGTTTGAAAATACATCCGGCATGGCTAGAAACTAGTTCATAAAATAATCACAATTATTCAGTTGTGCAGAATCGGAAAACCAGAAAATACATAGGAAAAAGTTAAGTGATGCGATTCACACAGATTTCAGGACAAAAGAAACAAACAAAAAAGCTTGTATAGGTTAATTTGAAAGCAGTTCCGTCCAAGCTGGGAACTAGTTCATAAAACGTTCACAAATATTCATGTGTATGGAACCAAAAGAAACGAAAACTTCGAATCTTGTGATTCACAAGTTTTTCAGGACAAGAGAAACTAAGAAAAAAGCTTGGATAAGTTGGTTTGAAACTAGTTCCGTCAAAGCTTGTAACTAGTTCATAAAACGTTCACAAATATTCATGTGTATGGAACCAAAAGAAATGAAAAGTTCAAAAGATATGATTCACAAGCAGTTCAGATCAAATAAAGATGAACTTTCAAAATTGTCAAATTGCTCTGCCAAAAAAAAAAAAAAGAACTCATAATTAAATCGTTTCTTCTTCTTCTGCATATGTAGATGTACGTGTGCGAGGAGTGCGGCCACACCACCTGCGAACCGGAGGTACACTATCTGCATCTGAAGGACAATCATCCGTTCTCGCCGGCCCTGCTGAAGTTCTACGACAAGCGTCACTTCAAGTTCACCAATTCGCAGTTTGCGAACAATTTGCTCGGTCAGCTGCCGATGCCGGTGCATAATTAAAACTGGAAACTAGCTATAGCAAAGCCTTAGATTAAGCCTAAACAAACTAACTAAACTTAAACTAAATGAAACTAACTGAATTAATGTAAAGTTAATGCAAATTCAACTCTAAGCTGAAGTTTTATGAAAACTGCCCCCACGAAAATGGCGAGATTATGTTTTGTACATGTATAATCATATCGGATATCATAGTTATATCACACACAGATATATCCATCTCTACACATATATACACACACACATATATATATATATATATATATGCATTAATTTCTAGCTATTTAAGCGAAAAACGAGACACGAAAAACAATTTACATTTAGTTTAGCTCAAGAATTTCATTTACCCAAACACGCCCTTAACACTTTGCTGTGCAAACAAAAGAAAATGAAAGAAAAGCACATTTCGAAATAATTCATTTCGTTTGATATTGAGAAAAGCTAAGAAAATGGGCTCTTAGGTTTTCTTACTGTTGGGCGAGTCCCAAAACTAATTTTATGCGCTTAGTCAAAGTTTTTTTTTTTTTTTCGCTTAATTTTTTTCTGTGTGTAGTCAGAAAACATTTTTTTTTTTCTTTGAAAACACTTTTTTGTAGTTGTTTAAGCTAAGCTTAGTCTTAAAAATGCTTTAAGCAAAACAGAATTAAAAGAAAAACAAATGAATTATCGATTTATAGTTTCTTGAAACGAAAAATACGAAAACACAAAAACTCATTCGCTAACTTTAGCTAAATGAACAAGCTGCAAGAACCTTTGCATTTATTTACAACAAATTAGAGGAAGATGAAGAAGAGGAGGAGGGGGAGGAGGAAAAAGAAGAAGAGCTACTAACACTTAAGCTACTGTATTTATTTAATTCGAATTTTTGAACAAACGCATCAAAATTCATTGTAAAGAGGCATAAAAAAAAAAACAAAACAAAAAACAAGAACAAAAAAAAGAAAACACGAAATGAAATTGATTTAGTTAAGCTGCCTAATTAAGTTGAATTAATTGATTAACTAAGAGATATGCTAAATTATGCTGTTCATAAATGAAGTCAAAGCAAACAAACAAAAAACACATTTATGTAATATATTTTAATTATTATGTATTTATAAGGCACACACACGCACACACACACACACACACACACACACATCTATTTGAATTTAGTTTAATTTCTTTATAATTTTAACAATTTTATTTTTTTTTTTGTCATAATTATAATTTAAAGAGAGCTGAAGCAACCACCAATTTGTACTGAGAACATAAACACAATTATAATAATAATAATAATAATAATATTAATATTATTAATAATAATCATAATTATGTGGCAAAGCATTTAAGTTGAAATTTTCACACACACACACACACGCACACACACGTATATATATATATATACACGATATTTATATATATAGTTCTTATATGGGCCTTACTTTGTTTGTGAACAGCATTTTGTGCAGCTGCAACAACATAATCTTAATTATTATTATTATTTTTTTTTGGATTAATTTAAGTTGTAGAAACACAAGTTTTCGCTTAGTTCTGCCCACACAACACACTCGCGCACACACACACACACACACACACACACACACACACACACAGTAAAATTATATAATTTTTTTTTTTTTGCATAGTTTTTTAAGCAACAACGGGTTATTTGTGCAATCGCTTGGTGTTGGTATTAAAAGAAAAACAAAAAGAAAACTTAACTTTAGTTCGTATTTAGGAACTTTGCAGCTGCTGCGCGCGGGCGCTGCGCCACGCCCCACGCCTGTGCGCAGCACACACACACACACACACATATCTCTATAGATATATATATATATATATATGTAGGCATATATATTAGTTCGCTTCCAACTTTAGTTTCAACTCTCGTTAAGCTTTAAACAAAAAACTCATCAATTGTAATTTAATGGCCTTTACCTTATATATATATGTACCCACACACGCACACACACTCGCACACACACACACACACACATACCCGCACACACACACATTATCATGTACTTCCCCTGAGCAAAAAATTGAGAAAATTGGAAATTTTTTTGAATTTTTACACGAATTTCTGAACTAAACATTAACAAGAAAACAAAAAAAAAAACCAAACAAAAATACGAAAATACAAAAAAAAAAAGAGAAGAGTAACACATGAAAGTGTATTCAAAATTCGTGGTAGTTTATCGTAACACATTGAATTAGTTTTAAGCAGCAAATTTTTTTTTTCTTAACATAACTATTATATGTATACTATATAAAGTTTATGGCAAGCAAATTATATAATAAATATTGAATATTACAAAATCACATCGAGCAATTTTCTATCTTCACCTCTCTCCGCTTAGATTGGCAAGAATTTTGGCAATTGGAAAATTTGAGAGTATTTTTGAAAAGGTTCAGCCATGAAATAAGAGCGATTCCGCATTAAAATCAACTGCATTTTGGTATATGCGGTAAATCGAGAAAGAAAAACTATCCTCGGCACGCCGAAGTTCTAATACCCTTGCAGACCCAACTTTTTCATAATGCTTATAGTGCTTTGCCCGTATCTAAGAAGCACATGGAAAATAGTTAATGCCGAGTTTGGGCAAGATATCGTAATAAACAAAAAAGGTTTTTAATCAAACACCTACTTATCGACCGATCGTTTCTATGACAGCTGTATGATATAGTGCTCCGATCTTATTAGGATTTTGCAAATATATGAGGAGCATCATAAAACTAATAAATGTCGAGTTTGGTCAAAATATCTTGAATCACAAAAAAGTTTTCCATACAACATATTGGCAAAATTCGACCCACGTCTAGTCTATGTAAGATTTTTGAGGGTACAACATTTTCAGATGAATTTTGACCAAGAATAATGTTGCCAGTCGAATGTGCCAAATTGTTCTAGAGTCTAACCCATGAACAAAGAGCCAAGCCTCGGATGAGATTTGCCCGAGTTATTGGGAATGGGGAATTTTGAACTATATCTATATAGGATAATATCGGCTTTGTCCGTGGCAAGTTTATAGATATACATAAATTATATAGATATTTTTATGGTGGAAAAACCTGGTAATGAAAGTTAGTCCGCAGAAAATTCCCAAAGGGTTTCGAGTATTTTTATCAGATCTATTGTTCCTAGGCATGGGCTTGAGAATCGCAATGCACCAAGTTTAATGAAATCGAAATCCTGAAAAAAGAAGAAGAATAAAGAATTAGTAAATCAATTCTTTTCTAAATAAAAGTTTAATCCTCGATGCCGAGTACATTTTTCATAAAACAATTGTATTGAACGAAATTTGCGAAAGCAAGCTAAGAGCTAAAGATTGGGTTCGTCAGAATGGAAACCCAGCTTCAAACGAGAAAGTTGAATTATATCTACGGCACGCCGAAGATTCAATACGACGCAAATATTTCTAGCCTGGTTTTTCATCTGGCTTTTCGCTCTCCAAAAGCCAGACGAACGACTGCCGAAGACGAAGGTTCCCATGGGCTACCCGATGATCCGTCATCTCCTTGGTTCCTTTTGGGTTCTCCTTGCTTCCCCTGGCTTCCTCTTGATCTGGTGGTATTTTACCTTGGGCATACTTGAGTACCCTTTGGTTTACCTGGATTCACCTTTGTTCAGTTCGGTTCCACTTTGAGCTAAGTCCACTTGGTTCAGCTTGGTCACTCTGGACTCACCTGGTTACTGTGCAAAGGGTCAAAATATTTACACAGTATTTGTTTTTTTTTTTTTTTGAAATGTTTTCACTTTATTTATTTCGCTAGTTTCATTTTATGTTTTATGTTCAGTGTTTTCTTTGTTTTGTATTTTGGGTTTTTGCAATTTTTTTGTGAGTTTTTGTGTTTTTTCTTCATCTTCTTCTTCGTCTTCATTTTGTTTCATCTTATTTTTTTGTTGTTGTTGTATTTTTACATTAATTACTGAAATACACACACAGACACGGAATTACACTAAAAACTAAAGTTTTTTGTTTCACATGAATTAATATAGATATTTATTTTTTGTTATTATCAAGAATTGTAATATATGTATTTGTTTTTTGTTTTGTTTTGTTTTGTTTTTTTTTTTTTAGTTTAGCAAGTGTTTTCTGCTGCTTCTTCTTCCTTTCAAGAGCTGTCTTTGATTAGTTAAACTAAACACTTGAAAAAATTCAACTATGAAACAAAATGTTTTTAACTGAAATTGTTTTTTTTTAAGAATTTTATTTATGTTTTGTTTTAAATTTTTAAAATATTTTTATACTTTTGTTTTTTTTTTTGTTTTTTGAGCAAATTGGGCCAATTGTTTTTTTCTTCTTTTTTAATTACATTGCCATTTACATAAACAAACTATTCCTATATATTTGTTGAGTTTGTTTGTTTTTTTTTTTTGTTAATTTAGTTTTTTATGTTTTTTTCATTTTTAATTTATTGATATGAACCACACGAGCGCGCTAGAAAATCAAACACAGGTTTTCAAAAATATATTAGTTAATATGTATTTGTTGTTTTTTTTTTTAGTTTATATATTTGTGTTTTTTTTACATGAAAATAAAAGCGAGCAAATTACAAAAATTATAATTAATATATATATATATAAATAAAATATATAAAATATGCCTTTAAGAAAATTCACTTTTCGTTTAGTAAAAACTGTATACAAAATATAAAAAAGGAAATCATAAAAAATTAGTTTAAAAAAATAATAAAAAATTTATTGCATTAGTTAATTTTTTTTTTAAATAATATATAATTAATGCATAAATACGCGCGTTGCTCACATGGTTTTCTGGCCTCACAGTACTCCAACTGATAAATATCTATATATATCTATATATATATTCACCAATATATATATATATATATAATTTAGATAATTTAGCATTTTGTTGTTTCACACACGTCAAAGTTTTTGTTATTGTGTTTTTAATTGGTAGCTTACATAAAAACTAACACTAAAAACAGACACATTTCGTTTAAATTTGTTTATTACTTTTCTTTAAATATCGTATTTATATATATATATACACATATATATATGTGTGTGTGTGTGTTTTTTTTTTTATTTATATATTTTACGTTAATAATGTAAACATTCATTTCTTATATTTTTTGTTTTAATGTTAAAAATGCTTCTAAAAATTGTTTATATATATATATATATATTTTTTTTATATATATATTCTTTAATTGTTTTTATTGTACACGCTACACACTTAATTGTTTTTGTTTTTTTTTTTTTTTTCAAAAAT